ATAAGAGACAGTATATATATATATATATATATATATATATTAATATATATACATATGTGAGTTCATTATGCTTGTAATAAAGTCTCCAGCTGGGTATTGTGGCGTTGGGGTCTATGTTGACTAGCAAGTGAGGATAGAAGTTCTTTCTATAAGATTCTTTTCTGATTCAAAATATTCTTCTCTGTTTTAAGTATTACTCTGATCGCCTTCTAATCAGTTCTATAATCACTCCTAATAATAATTTGTAATCTCTCCTCTATCTAACAATTTCATTCTCAATATATGCGGGACCAAATGGGAGGAACTATATAAATTCCAAGATGGTCAATGACACATTATTGACTCATCAACTACATGTTTAAGACACTTAAACTACCTGGTTGAATAACCTTAGTTACTTCCTGTAGTTGACCATAAGGGCTGGAATACCTGTTGGTACCAATGTGGGTTTCCTTGGAATGTATACATGGCAGTATCAACGAAAACAAGATTCCAGGAACATTTACCTCTCATAGTCTCATAAAAATGTTGTTGTTGAACTTGTTTCGTAAGAACTAATCTTAATGTTTACAGGAGGATTTGGAACCAATCTAAACGTCTAAGCCAATCTCCCCTCCAGTTTTGATTATAACTAAGTGTTCCGCTTGGATATTGTAAGGTCTCATCGTCTACCTAAACGTACATAAAATTTATATTCATAATTTCATTCAACTTAAGAAGAGACTGATATAGGTAACAAAGGGAACAGGTCGCAATACAAAGTACCTATCTGAATGGCATAAAACATTATAAGAATTTAAGAATAAATAGCACTTAATCAATATTAATATGGATAAGTTTACGTAAGAATTAATAGGAATACAAATAAAATATATGGTACTGTAATACATAAGTAAAAATAATAAGTAAATAAATTAGTAAGATATAAAGTAAATATTGTTTGAAGGTTTGCACTGTGAAGTAGTAATATATTAAATGTTTGCGGTACACCACGTAGCTCTGAAAAGAACTGTTGTTTTTGTTGAGAATGTCTGGACCTTTCGATTTAAATTAGTAAATAATTATAAGCGAGTATTCCTGGACTTGTTTAGTGGTCAGTTACCGAAGTTGATTGACACTAAGAGATTATTATTAATAATATTTTTTGGCGAATTTTTCTCTTATTGTTTCCTGTGGTTTTTGTTTGGATTATCGAACAAATATAGACCGAGGCGTACTGTGGTCTTAACCAACAGTTGTATCGACCAATTAAGGGTGTACTGTGATTCATCCTGGACAATTGAACTGCAAGTATATCTAACCACAAAGCTACTCCTTCATATTTTTTTTAAATGTTGACCTAACACCTTTCTATCGGACAGGTTAAGGTACTAATCCGAAGAAGTCCCAAAATATTCCAATGGGATAAGTCGTCATCTCATCTGTGTTACTCATGCATATGCAACAATAGAGTCAACAGAACATTAACAAGTGGCATTTGCAAAATTAGGAGTATGACCAACACTGAATATCGCTTTCCATAGTCATTGTAAGCCATTTATGGTTATAACCTGCAGTGGCGGATTCGGGGTGGGGGGCTCTCCCCCACCTTAAATTTTTTTAAATTTAAAAAAAAATGAGAAAAGAAGCATATTCTACCAAAATTTTAAGAGTTCCATTTACGGCCTCTGGTGCCATAACCATAAATTATCTTCTCTCAGCCCAACCATGGTGGGGCTGAGGTAGAAGGTTTCCCATCCTGTCTGGTCCGACACAAATAAATATACGTTAATGAGTAAATAAATAATTAAATTAATTAATTCACATAATAATGCGGAAAATTGGCTACATGTACACTCGGCAGGTGGAAAACGGCGCCGCGAGCACCCCTACTAGGGATGGATACGTGCGCCTAACAAAATGACATTATTATTATTATTATTATTATTATTATTATTATTATTATTATTATTATTATTATTATTATTATTATAGACCTTCCATCTTTGAAATTCCCTTTCAATAAACGCCCTCTTCGAAAAAACGTCCCCTCGAGTAAACTCTAGCGGCGTTTATTTTCCCCCTCGAATAAACACCCCCGCCTGAATAATTATATTAAAAATCTAGTCTTTATTTAGGAGGGGGAGTTTATTCGAGGGGAGTTTACTCGAGTTGAAAAAGATACGTACTCAAATAAACGCCTGTTAATTTTATTGTGAATGTGGAACTATAACACATAATTGTTATCAAAATGTGTTATTGCGTGATCATAAAGATTTATTGCAACCAGGTTAAAAAAAATGTACCGTAATTCTACTGGAGTAGAAAATTAATACAATATGTTGAGAATGATGTTGCTTTCATTAGTTTTGTTTACAGTTATTTAGCAGGGGGAGTTTATTCAATGGGGAAAATAGACCTAAACGCACCGAGAGTTTACTCCAGGGGACGTTTGTTCAAGGAGGGCGTTTATATTCAATGCGCGGGGTTTAGTCGAATAAATACGGTATATTGTTTTTGT